CCCGGTGCTTGAATGGCCCATGCGACCGTGTCTGGGCGTGTCATGCACGGGTGACCAGGCCCTGATGATGTCACAGCATCCCTTGTCCACGTCCCAAAGTTATCAAAGTCCCACGTTATCAAAGATTGATAACCCAAATGAATTTTTCATGGATATGATACCAACATCAAATCATATATCAGACGTCGCCCTATCCCCACTAGATTTTGAAGAAGCCATAAACAGTATGCCTATGCACCAGGCCCGGATTCTTGGAACTCCATATTCATCAAGAACTGTAAAAAACCACTATCGCAGGCCCTTCACATTCTGTGGAGACAAAGCCTAGATACTGGCGTTATCCCTGACATACTAAAAACAGCAGAGATAGCATCACTCCATAAAGGAGGAAATAAGGCAGAGGCAAAAAATTACAGACCGATAGCACTAACATCGCACATCATAAAAATTTTTGAGAGAGTGCTAAGAAGTAAGATCACAAAATACACGGAATCACAGCATTTCCATAACCCGGACAACATGGTTTCAGAACAGGGCGCTCTTGCCTGTCGCAGTTGCTGGACCACTATGATATGGCATCAGATGCTATGGAAGACAAACAAAACGCTGATGTAATTTACACAGATTTCGCAAAAGCTTTTGATAAATTTGACCATGGTGTTATTGCACATAAAATGCGTTCAAAAGGAATTACCGGGATCTACAATTTCCTGACTAACAGAACCCAATGTGTAATAGTCAACAAAATAAAATCCAGCCCATGAACCGTGAAGAGCTCAGTCCCCCAGGGTACTGTGCTTGCTCCAGTACTTTTTCTCATCCTCATATCGGACATAGACCAGAACACAACCTATAGCACTGTATCATCCTTTGCAGATGACACTAGGATTTTCATGAGAGTTGGCAACATAGAGGACACGGCAAACCTCCAATCAGATGTAGATCAGGTCTTTCTATGGGCTACAGAAAATAATATGGTGTTTAATGAGGATAAGTTCCAGCTCATGCGCTACGGAAAAATTGAAAATATAAAAACAGAAACCACGTACAAAACTCAGGCAAATCATAACATAGAACGAAAAGGCAATGTAAAGGATCTGGGTGTACTCATGTCGGAAGACCTTACCTTCAAAGAACACAATAAAGTAGCCGTCACAACTGCAAGAAAAATGACAGGTTGGATAACAAGAACCTTTCACACTAGAGATGCTATACCGATGATGATACTTTTCAAAACGCTTGTGCTCTCTAGAGTGGAGTACTGCTGCACAATGACAGCCCCTTTCAAAGCTGGAGAAATTGCTGACCTAGAGAGCGTGCAGAGATCCTTTACTGCTAGAATCCACTCAGTAAAACATCTAAATTACTGGGACCGACTAAAGAGCCTAAATCTGTACTCCCTTGAGCGCAGGCGGGAGAGAGACATAATAATTTACACGTGGAAAATAATTGAGGGGCTGGTCCCAAACCTGCACACAGAAATAACACCACATGAGACCAGAAGACATGGCAGGATGTGCAGAATACCCCCGTTAAAAAGCAGAGGTGCAACAGGTACTCTGAGAGAGAACTCTATCAACATCAGAGGCCCGAGACTGTTCAACACGCTTCCACTACACATAAGGGGCATAACTGGCAAACCCCTCACAGTGTTCAAGAGAGAACTGGATAAGCACCTCCAAAGGATACCTGATCAACCAGGCTGTGACTCATACGTCAGACTGCGAGCAGCCGCGTCTAACAGCCTGGTTGATCAGTCCAGCAACCAGGAGGCCTGGTCGACGACCGGGCCGCGGGGACACTAAGCCCCGGAAGCACCTCAAGGTAGCCTCAAGGTAGGTAGGTCCCTACAGCCAAAGTGGAATTTGGTATTTATTTTTACATAGACAAGTTCAGGGAAGGGAATTTATCATTTTACGAAGAAAAAAGAATTTTTGGGGAACACTTTATTTCATGCGCACGAGGGGAATTTCACAATAAACTCAGCGCAGCACGGTGGTTAAATCAATAGTTCTTGAAAATTTACATAACCTAACACAACACTAAAGTATATGAGCTAACATTATTGTACAGTACATGAGCTTGGCAAGGTCAGTTTTGACTGCCAACTGCTGAAATCATCACTGATTGAGGGATCTTGGTTAGGCTTCAGTGGTTGAAGGTCCTTACCTTGCTTGTGAGGCTTCAGTGGTTGAAGGTCCTTACCTTGCTTGTGAGGCTTCAGTGGTTGAAGGTCCTTACCTTGCTTGTGAGGCTTCAGTGGTTGAAGGTCCTTACCTTGCTTGTGAGGCTTCAGTGGTTGAAGGTCCTTACCTTGCTTGTGAGGCTTCAGTGGCTGAAGGTCCTTACCTTGCTTGTGAGGCTTCAGTGGTTGAAGGTCCTTACCTTGCTTGTGAGGCTTCAGTGGTTCAAGGGCATTACCTTGCTTGTGAGGCTTCAGTGGTTCAAGGGCCTTATCTTGCTTGTGAGGCTTCAGTGGTTCAAGGACCTTACCTTGCTTGTGAGGCTTCAGTGGTTCAAGGGCGTTACCTTGCTTGTGAGGCTTCAGTGGTTCAAGGGCCTTGGCTTGCTGTTTTACCAAATATGATTTGAGTTTTGCTTGCCTCCTGCGTTCTTTGGTTTGCATCATGTACTGATACATGTTTCCAACCTCTGGATTAGCACAGTTGAATAAGCAATTAACATGTCAACAGAAGACATGAGTAAAATGTATTTGGTTGTGTTGTTAGCATAACCTTCTTCCAATTAACACCTCCAGGATGATGGCTGCTGCTACCAGACATAGTATTGGCAAAAAATTATTAAAGTTTGTATAGAAACAAAAACGTTATTTAAGAAATATTTCACTAATGGCACGGCACTGTAGTATAATGTTAGGGCCAAGAGCACATGGCCTGTTTAGCTTGACCAGGCCTGGACGGGTCAACTTGGGGCAGACAGGCATGTTACATAGACTGCCAGGCAGTAAAAAATATTCCAAATTGTAGCAGGAAACTACAGTCTTCATCCCTAATGCATAGTTTTTAAGAAATTTATATTTGTTATAACATTAGATAATTTTTCTTTAGTTTTTACTGTAATGAATTATTTTAACATAATTCTTGGTTATTCTATACAATGCAGATCATAGGCCCCTCCACATGCCCCTCATTCCCCAGACAGTTCCTCCCAACACCCCCCCTACCCCAAAACCCCTCTCCCAACACCCCTCTACCCTGAAACCGAACACCCCCCATATACCTCACCCCTCAAGCCACTGCTGTATGGAATTAATACTGCATGGCCTGATGCCTCTCTGTGGTATCCAGCAAAATCTCTGGGTTTACTAATTTCTGTCCAGATATAGTGAAGTTGGACAGGAAGTTATCTGGGGTTCATTTTGAACCTATGCCAGTCTGCACTATCTGCACTATCAGTTATCCGAATTACTCTCCAAATATGCCCAAGTTTTGCAAGAAAAATATCTGGATGGGATTTTGGCCAGAAAACCCAAACAACCGGTTTAGCGGAATTAGGATAAGTGAGCGCATAAAGTACAGTGGAACCTCTATTAACGAGTTTAATCCGTTCTGGCACCGAGCTCGTTACCTGGAAAACTCGTCTTAAGAAACAAATTTCCCCATTTAAAATAAAGGAAATAAATTTAATCCATTCCACTTCCAAAAACATCCATACTTGTATGACTTTTTTTTATGTAAATATAATACTGCACATGTAAATATAAATATTTTGTTGTAGTGTTTTAATATTTACTTTACCTTATGAAGAGTAGTTGCTGGCTTGAGGGAGACGATGGGGAGGTGGGAAGGAGGAGAGGGGTTATGGTGTGGAAGGAGAATCCACCTCTGAGTCAGGCGGACTCTCTCTTCTTGGGAATTTCACCCAAATTTCATTTCAAATGTCACACAAGGATGTGTTAGACCAGCACCAAATAAAAAACTACGTCGATTACACTCGTTGTGTCAACAATATAATAGTCTTACCACGAAGATACAATACAATGCCGTTTTCTCAAATAGGCAATGTGGTTATTAAAGAAAACGGAAATTTCATGGCAAACATGTATACAATCCCCAAGTCGATCGGATAAGAATTGGATTTTATAGAAATATTTGCTCAAATGACGCTTGGGTGCGGTGTTTGGGTGCATTCAAGAGAAAAAAAGTGTGTTACGTTCAAGCGACATATACCTGCAAAAGTGATAACACTTTCATAAAGTGTTATCACAGTGATAAATTAATTAAACATTTTCACACACCGGGTTGTCACTGCTTTATCAGGGCAGCTTTTCCAAGAATGCGTTCACCTTTTCAAACATTCCAAACACTTCCCTGATCTCAGTGGAAGAGGCAGCATCCTCCCTTACCTCCTCATTCCCTTACTAATGGTGTAAATTGTTGATGAGGACCTGCCATACTTCCTTGTGAGATCAATCACACAGACACCACACTCATGCTTTGCTATAATTTCCTTCTTTAAATCCACAGTAATTGTATCTTTCTTCCTCTTGACAACACTATCTTTAGCAAGCAGCTTCTTTGGAGACATCGTGTGTTACAAATTGTAGTCGCAAAACCACTAAAAACCCAAAGAAAAGCTCAAATAAATCCAGAGGGATGCTTGTCGTGTGAGATACAACAACAACACTGGCGTCGGAGGCGTCCGAGAATTTGCGAGAACCCGCGAGACGCTAGGAAGCGCCATGTGCTTTCACTCGTTAATAGAGGCGAGCTCGTCAATAGAGACAAATTTGCTGCGAGTGGCTTGCTCGTTACTGGAAAAACTCGTTAATAGAGCCACTCGTTAATAGAGGTTCCACTGTACATTTAATGCTGATTTTTTGTACTTGCATATAAATTTACTATTGAAACTAGGTTGAACCTGCTGATTTTGCATCTAATCACAATTAATAATGTAATTCATTACAGTAATGAAATGAATTACATTAACATTTTAGATGATTTACTCATTGTTATATCTAGACATAATTCTGCTTCCAGGTAATTGGAGATAAACATCATGGACAGAGGATTAAAGATGATCTTTTATGGCAACATAATCTTCAAAAAACACCAAGCTCTGAATGGAACATAATCCTTAATATGTAAGTCTAATAATTATGCATATTTTTAATAATTTCTTTAACCTTATAGCAAGAGATAGGTATTGCATTAATTGAATAAGTTGTGGGATTATACACAAAAATACTGTACTTATATTGTATTTATAATAATTTTATAGTTACAGTTATACTGTATCATTGCCCACCATTATGCGATGCTAGCTACCTATTATCTCCAGCAATGATGGAGTATAAAGATCAAGTTATGGGCCCATCTTCGTTGTTTCTAGAGCATGCACCTGCCTAGGCCCTAGAAAAGAAAATTAGCTCATATGGCTGTGAAATGTGATGGTGCAAATGTATGATGTGCTAGGTTTATGTTAACATTTGTTGGAAGCAAGAAGTAAGGGTGGAAAATGGTAAGCATTATAAGAGGCAGTAGGGGTTTTAATGAACAGTGATATGAGGAAATAAATTATCTTCCATGGTGTATTCCAAAATGCTGATATGTGAAATTCAAGTTTGAAAGGAATTGTTTCTTATAGATATCCTATACTTGTGTCCAGTCACTTCAAAGTGAACAGTTAGGCATTCAAACAGACAGGTCAGGGGTGGTGAGGATGCAAACATGAGAGGTCATTTTCATGAAGTTTGATTATACTGTTAAGGATTAAGCACAAAGCTTGAACATAAGAATGAAGGTAACTGCAGAAGGCCTATTGGCCATTGATTTTCTGGGGAAATCCCGTCGGCTTCCTGAAGCTATCCGAACTGATATTTATATTGTTTGGGGTCATCGGTCACTGGAGTTCTCGTGCCTACCGGGAACCAAAACCAGAACCTGGCCCTCTCAGAGAGGTGCAGGGGGCAATAGCGTATGAGCACTTTACATTTAAAGTATGTCATATTAGAAAGATAGGCGAACCAAAACAAACAGCTAGCCAGTAAAACTGTGACCTACAGCCAGAAAGAGCAAAGAAACTCCTGTTAAAAGAAAAGAAAATAAAAGAAAAGTACTAGTACTCCCGCTCGTTAGTGTATACCCCCCTCTCGCCAGGGGAGTGGGAGCTGGCCCTCACCACCTTTCTCTCCCTCAGTTCTCATCCTGATGTGTGAGGGGTCACTCAGTCACCTCTGGCCTCAAGTTTCTGTTCTGGATTTTGCCTTGTGGCTGTACCAGTTGTTTTTGTGCAGTGTGGTGGCCAGGTGTTTCTTGTACTTGGAGCTACATGCACCTAGGGTACCCTTCCCTGGGTGCTTTGTAAGTACAGTGGTACCTTGGTGTACAACTGTCCTAGAGTACAATTTTTTTTTATGACATCAAATTACTTGGAATTACATTTTTTTACATTTTACTTGGAATACGATATTTGTTGATACATGTTTGGGTTGATCAAGCGTCTGGTGCTGGGTGCAGGGCGAGGCACATTCAGTTGTTTACCCATGTATCCCACCTAGTAACGACCACGCTTGAATTCTTAGTAAAGAATTTCATTATTTTTCTGCTTTTCTGGGGGGGAGCCCCATTGGCTTCCCGGAGCTATCCAGGCTGATATGAATATATTAGCTTTCTGGCATCAGTCAATGTGCATGGGGGTTCTTGCTTACTGGGGACCACAAGCCAGAACCTGGCCTCCCCCCTCCCCCCCTCCCTCGGAGAGGCATAAGGAGCAATGGCCTATAGAAACCCCTATGTGGCTGGGAGTATTCTATGTTTGCCATCAACTGGGTCTGGCATCCAGAAAGGTAGGCGCCCCAAAACAAACCCCTATTCTGGTGAAAATATTGCTACCGAAAGCCGAATGAGTGGACAGAACTCTCCAAATAAAAATTAGCAAACTAGCATGATTTCATTACGTTGCCATGCCATTTTCTACGCAACCCCCCCCCCCCCTCCCTGGGAGGAGGAAGGGGAAGCCCTAGATCTCACGTTGGCAATCCACCCTTTAGTTCTTGGCTGATGTGTTGCTGGCAAGGTTGTGTGCCTCTGACTCCAGATTTTGTCAGTTTCTGTGCCTTGTGACGTGGTCCTGTCTCTACGGTTGGTGTGTAAGCCAGGAGTATTATTCTTCAAGTACTCGGGCTGCATGCGCCTAGGGTTTCCTTCCCCAGGTGCCCTGTAAGTATCACCCTTGGGGCCACCTTCCACAAGTCACCTTGTGGTCTACCTCCACTGTGTCTTTTACTGCTCGGTGATAGACTGCCCTTGGAGTCAGCTGGGTTTACCCCTGTTTGCCTCTGGGTAGAGAGTAGTTTTTGTCACTGGTTGTGAAAATGTAAGGTAATGTAACTAGGCAGTGGAAACAGGAGGCCAGACTCAGGATACAAAATGGGAGATGAACTCCTTCATGAAATGGACAAAGAAAAGGATCCAAGAGTTGATATCACACCAACCCTGTCTCCTGAAGCCCACATCAAAAGAATAACATCTGCGGCATATGCAAGGCTGGCTAACATCAGAACTGCCTTCAAGAACCTGTGTAAGGAATCATTCAGAACCTTGTATACTACATATGTAAGACCAATCCTGGAGTATGCGGCCCCAGCATGGAGCCCGTACCTTGTCAAGCACAAGGCGAAGCTTAAATAAGTTCAGAGATATACCACTAGGCTAGTCCCAGAACTAAGAGGCATGAGTTACAAAGAAAGGCTGCGAGAAATGCACCTTACGACACTAGAAGACAGAAGAGTAAGGAGAGACATGATCACTACCTACAAAATTCTCAGAGAAATTGACAGGGTAGATAAAAATAAACTGTTTAACACGGGTGGTATGCAAACAAGGGGACACAGGTGGAAACTAAGTACCCAAATGAGCTACAGGGATGTTAGAAAGAACTTTTTCGGTGTCTGAGTAGTTAACAGATGGAATGCATTAGGCAGTGATGTGGTGGAGGCTGACTCCATACACAGTTTCAAATGTAGATATGATACAGCCCAGTAGGCTCAGGAATCTGTACATCAGTTTATTGACAGTTGAGAGGCGGGACCAAAGAGCCAGAGCTCAACCCCCACAAGCACAATTAGGTAAGTACTAAAGAAACTGTTCATGACTTTTGTGAAACTAAAATTGGAATCTGCAGCCGTTTTATGTTGCCCATATCTCAAAAGGCACATAAATAACAGGAAAAGGTGCAAAGGCATGCTACAAAATGACTTCCGGAACTTAAAAAAAAAAGGAGTTACAAGGAGAGACTAGAGGCATTAAACATGCCAAAACTAGGAGATAATAGAAAAAGAGGTGATATGATCACCACTTACAAAAAACTAACAGGAATCGACCAAATTGACAAAGAGGAATTCCTGAAACCAGCTACTTCAACATCAAGAGGACACAAATTCAAGCTAAGAAAACAAAAGTCCCGAAAAAATATTTGAAAGTTTTCTTTTGCAAACTGAGTGGTAGACGGTTGGAACATGTTAAATGAGAAGATGGTTGAGGCCAAAACCGTCAGTACTGTAGTTTCAAAGCGTTATATGACAAAGAATACTGGGAAGTCGGGACACCACGAGTGTAGTTCTCATCCTGCAACTACACTTAAGTAATTACATTTTCCACACATTCACTGCAGAAGTTGACTTGATTGCTCATGCATCCACCAAGGAAGCTCATTTTCACTTCCCTGGTTCCTTGAAATCATTCTTACAAATGAACACTATCAGCTTATTAAAGAATATAAAATAAAATAGATTATTTTTGTAAAGCTGGTTATAAAAGATTATGGGTACTGTATTGTTTACAACATTAAACAAGGTTATTATACAAATTGTATATATGGTGTGCATTTTTCAAAACTAATTACAATACTTTACCAAACACTGTATTTAAATGTGAAATATAGGTTAAAATATATAAATAAGCTTTTTGGGAGGTTTGTCTATTTTATGATGACAATTTCTTAACACTTTCGCGCTATCTGGACGCGCCGGCGCGTCCTGTTTCGTCTAACGTAAACGCATAGTGGACATAAAGTTATGTCCTCTTTTAAAATATTTGTATAAAATTCAATTTTAATCCGATTTCATTGGGGTTTGTTTCAAACGACGCGCCATGAAGTTCTCTTTCTCACCACTAGGCCGCCTGGCGCGTCGGCCTACCCGGTCACGTGACGGGCCTATTGTTTTCGTGTCACGTGTCGTGAGTCGATCACGCTCCCCTCGCGCGCCAAACTCGAGCATTTTTACCCGTTTCCGTGTGGATTATACCCAATTACTTCATCAAAAATGGATCCAGGTCAAGGCCCAAGCACTTCTACGCCCAAGGAAGCCTCCAGGTCATCGAGAGTGGACAAAATAACCCAAATTTTTAAGAAGTGGAGCGGAGTGAAGCTCACACCAACGAAAATTCCAGGCCTTGTGGAGGATTTATCAGAAGCTGAAGGTGATGTAGAGGTATTGGAGGAAGATTTTGGAACCCACAACGATTATAGTGTACCTAGAGCTAGAGGGAATGATACGGCAACGAGTGATGAGGAGACTGAGGCCCTCACCGAGGAAGAGGAGGCACCGCGACCCCCTCCTCCTCCTCCATCTCGGCGCACACGTGGTGCATCTAGGCTACCTAGAAAAGTAGCTACCAGACATGTTACTCGTCGTAGGAACACACGACAAATTGCGCCAAGTGATTCTGAAAGTATAAGTGATGAGGAAAGTGATGAGGATTCATTCGAGCCTGCTGAAAGGCGTACACGTACAGTACGTACTCGGCAGGCTGGGGCTGGGGCTGGTGAGGGCTGGAGTCGTAGCAATACTTCTCCAGTTGTTGATGATTTTACTGGAAATCCTGGACTGAAAATTCCCAAGCCTACTAGTGCACTGGCTTATATTCAATTGTTCATCACGCGTGCCCTCCTTGAGTTCTTTACCGTTGAAACAAATTTGTACGCCTCGCAGTTATTCCGGATGGCCAATGAAAATGTATCAGATATTTGGACCCCAGTGAAGGTGAGTGAAATGGCGCGATTCCTAGGACTGTTCATATTGATGGGCATAATTAGGCTCCCAACTATGAGGATGTATTGGCAAACAGCAAAGCCATGGCATGCTCGTTTCTTCAGCTTGTTCATGCCGTCCAGACGATTCCAGCATATAAACCAGTTTTTCCACACATTCAATACCAATGCAGTGCCCGTGAACAATCGTGATAAGTTGATAAAAGTGAGACCAGTGATGGATTACTTGAAAGACAGGTTTGCTCAAGTTTACATCCCCAAGAAAGAGTTGTGTTTGGATGAGGGTACAATGGCATGGCGAGGCCGACTATCCTTCAAAGTGTACAATCCAAACAAACCAGACAAGTATGGTGTGAAACTTTATATGCTTGCTGAATCTGTCTCTGGGTACATATATGACTTTGACGTATACTCAGGTATTGGTAAGACGATAGTGGATACAGTAACGGGGTTGATGCAGCCTTTAGTGAACCAGGGTTACCATTTGTACATGGATAATTACTACAACTCGGTTACCCTGACAGAAACATTGAGAGAACTTGGGGTGTACACATGTGGCACAATTAGAATGCTACGTGGTGCCCCAAAGGTATTGCAAGCTCTAGCCAAGGGTAAACTTCCACTGGATACCACAGTATACCGCCGCAAAGATAACACCTTCATTCTCCTGTGGAAAGACAAGCGAGTGGTTTCAATCATTACCAACATCCACAATGCAGACACTCAGCGAGTTCAGCGAAGGAAGCGAATTCGCAACCGAGACGGAACAAGTGGAATACAACAGGTAACAGTGAACAAACCGACTGCAATTTGCGAGTACAATAAGTTCATGAAAGGTGTGGACCACTTCGATAAAATGGTTAAATATTACCATTTTACCAGGAAAACTCACAAGTGGACCAAAAAGATTACCTTTTATTTCCTGCAAATGGCATTGCATAATGCCTATGTTTTGTACAAATACAACACAACTGATCGAAAAAAGCTAACATTGCTACAGTTCCACGAAGTGGCAATCTGGGCCCTATTGCACTGGGACACAGAGGAGTGGCCTAAAACAACATCATCATCTCAACACTTGCGGCACGCTCCAGACATAAATGATGACACAGCTCCTGCCAATGCTGACGCCATGCCAACTCCCGGACCATCTGGTGTGAGGCGGCCTTTGTTCACTACACCACCTCAAGATGAAGCAGACAACGAATCTGAACCCGACATGTCTGCCACACTGCCAGTTGATGAAACTGTTTTGTCAGATGAATCTGACTCTCCTGCAACTCCTGTTACACCTCCAGCGAGAGGACCTGGCCGCCCTATTGTTGATTCAGAAAATCGCATGAACTACAAACTGAAACATGAAGTTTACAGACTGCCAAAACGTCTCAAGTGTCATGCATGCGCACGGTCTGGTAAAAGGAAGGACACGAACTATGGATGCAAGACCTGTGGTGTTGCACTCTGTGTTGTTCCCTGCTACACCAATTACCACCGGAAAAAGGTGTATTGGGTGGTGAAGAAGTAACCACCCGCAACAGCTTCACTCCACCTACAAACCATCTGTTGAGCAACTTCAGGAATGAAGAACCTGAAGAAGGTGGAGTGAAGAACAAATGCTCAACTTACTGTTCCACAACCAGCCTTCCCTTGGTAAGTACACCTATTTGGTCCAAGTTTGTGTAGTATAATTTAGCTCATAGAACATTCTATTGCGAAAACATTGCCACAAAAATGAATGACATACATACAATAATAATATCAGAACAGTGAAATAAGTATAAACTTTCAAAGCAACGTTTCGCGCGTGTGTCGTCCGGTCACCATTACCGGGTAACAGTGTGCCCACTTCCCACACTCTTGCGGGTGGGCCGGGACCATTATTCTACGATTATATTCATATCACCGTGTTGGGAATTTTATTGGGAGTCCATTGATACCAAAATTAAGGCTGTAGGACAATTGTAGAGGTGATAATAATCCCAAGAGTAAAAACATTTTGTTGCTGTTGAGCGCTCACGGCGACTCATCTTCGTAGTTATTTATTTCATGCTGGTATCTCTATAGCTTTCGTGACTTTTTTTACTGATGTTCTTCTAGAGAATTTTATTGCGAACACGTTGGTATCAAAATGAAATACGTAGCATGAAAACTAAGGTCAGAAAAGTAAAAAGAGTATACACATTTTTGTTTTTACGCTTAAGCGATAAAAACGCCGCGCGCACATACGGTTGGCTGAGTGACCTTCGCCGAGAGCGCGAAAGTGTTAACATTGTATATTATGAGATATTATGGGGCATACCAGGGATGCCTCCCTCAAGTTACCTTCATGCTGTAGAACCATATACAGTAAATGCCTATATAAATTAATGTGGAGCAAATTAAAAATGCTTTTGTGGTATACTTTCAGAATTTGTGAGGAAAATCCACCTACAGACATATTGCCAAATGTCCATTTCTTTATCTTCCTCGTTCGCATGGATGAGTTTCACAGGTATGTATTTCATAACAAGAAAATTTTGCCTTTTTATGGAAGTATGATCTTATTCAGAAGTCCTTGAATTGTGATATTCAGTTAAGTCATGATTATTTGAAGTATAATGACACCTCCATATAATTATTTATATGGATTCATAATGCAGTGCCAGTTTGAAATTCAGATATTTTGATTTGGTTGCAAAGAATCCTGGAGTGTGTCGTATAGTACTGGGGACCTCGTAGCTGAGTGGATAGCGCTCGGGGGTCGTAGTTCTAAGAGCCCGGGTTCGATTCCCGGCCGAGGCAGAAACAAATAGGCAGAGTTTCTTTCACCCTTTAGAACACACCTGACACCAGATTATACGAATAATCTGCTAGTACACCTAGCAGTAAATAGGTACCTGGGAGTTAGGCAGCTGCTACTGGGTACTTCCTGGGGATGTGTGTGATAGAGAAATATACTGTATGTAGTAGACATAATTGAGGAAAAATAGATTGGTTAGAAAGGCAGGGTTCAAGCGCTAATAACTCGATTCTGCAGGCACAAACAGTAAATACAGTATAGCAATTGTAAGCCAATCCTTTTGTTTTAGTATTTTGGGTATTTAATGACAAATATTAGTTTAATACAGCAATATACTGCACTGTATTTTATTTTAGATTTTTGTATAGTACTGTAAGTTCTTGTTTTTTGTGGCTTCTATGCATTCAAAAACTTACTGTTAGTGTACATGTACTATACATATATTTTTCCATTTGTGCAAGCACCATCTGATCTCTTGTAACTACTGTACAGTATTTTCACCAAGTTTTCGTTGGCTATGTCATTATTTAAAACTTGGATGCCATTTTGTTTAGCAAGAATAGAGAGGTTACATCAGCCAAGCACAAGAGAAACTTTCTCACCAAGGATAAGTAGGCCAAGTTATTATAGAACCTTATCTTGAGTTATCTTGAATTACCTTAATTATGGCTTAGGAGAACATTGGCTGGTAGTGAAGCATGGCATTGGCACTAGTACTGTTGTAACAGTGCAAGTATTTTGCACTCTTTCATGTGTATAATTGTGAGTTGTACTTGTGTGTGTGTGTGTGCGTGTGGGTGTGTGTTGGTGAGGAGGCTGCGGTAGTGGAGGAGTGGGCTGGCTTGTGCTGAGTACTATTGAACAAGGAGAGCCTTGTATACTGCAGGACCCGCCTGGGTCCTATAAGGGTTAGTTTTGCTTCTCAGGCCTTATTTGGGCATAAGGAAGAGAGTACACAGCTTTCCCCACGTTGGGGATGGCTGGGAGGATTCAGTTAACGACCGCCTTACAGAGAGAGAAGGTGACCGGCCAGCTTCCTCACCCTGACGGGTGACACTCCAGGCACCCTCAGGGTGTATCCGTCTGAGTTGTGAGGTAAGAGTGTCAGTAATGCATTGTCTTGATTGGGTGTCTTTGTGGTGACGAGCTAGTGGAGTCTGAATCATTTAGCCATGTATGGTGTGGGCGTGTATGGAGTTGGTGATCCCCCCCCCCTTTTAATTTGGTCAATATTGTGTTAAATAGTAGGATGTCAAAGTGTTAATTGGAATAATTTGAGAAAATTTGGATTCAATAAACATCTATGTGTAGAATAACAAACTTGACTTTTGTTTAGTCCTCTTTTTGAATCAATTAAAAACTCAAGTAAGAGTTAAGGCTAGAGAGATATCTAGATGAAAAAGTGAGAGATAACTAAATTAAGCAGTGTTCCTGTCGCATTGTTTAAGTGGAAATGAATTTAGATTCAATGACAGGTGGTGGCAGCAAACATCAGAACATCTTAGAATATCAGTATAGTATAACATCATCGATAGAGTAGAATAAAATCAGTCTACTCCCCCCTTTCTTCTTATGCCTCCTACATCGTACTCCTCCTCCTCCTTCATTCTCTCCCTCCTGCCTCCCCTTCTTCCCGTTCGCTTCCCGTTTTCTATGCCCGCCTGCCTCTTCTCCTCCTCAGTTCCCGCTCGCCCCTCCCCCATGTTCTATCCACCCATCCCCTCTCTTCTCCCTCTTTCCTCCTCCTTCTACCTTTACTTCACTTATACTAATTTCACGATCAACCCCCCACCCCCCCCCCCCCGTTACACTGTTTCTGACACAAGAAAGCTAAGATAACATAATAGAGTTTGTTAGCATGAGAACAGTAGTGGCAAAAATTTGATAGTAATATCTTAAGCCTTGTCAAAATGTGAGGATTTGGATCATGATATTTGTCAATGATTTATGCAACTTTAATTTACCATTAAAGTTCACTATTACAGTGACACCTCGTCTTACAAATGCCCCTATTTACAAACTTTTTGGGTTACAAGAACATTTTCTTCGTAAAATGTGAATCTGCTTACGAGCTTTGCCTTGAGTACCGCAGTTTGTTGATGGGTCGATCGAGTGTGTAGTTCCTAGTTGCACGGGCGACCGCGCTTCAGTTTACCTGTGCCTCCCAATTAGTGACAATCCTGCTTGAATTCTTTAAAAAAATTAATTGTTTTTCGGCTTTTGGGGGATTTGAACATAAAAGTAATTATATATCACGCCAAAGATCTCAAGAAAGTCAGTGGTAAGGTTCAACCTAAGAAAACACATGTGAGGATGACCATAGAGCAAAAACAAGAGACCATTTGTAAGCATAAAAATATTACATGGTACACAGGTTGTTGAACTAGCTAGGCAGTACCTGTACAATAAATCTGTGTTAACGATATGCACTGTAATTGCTAAGAAAAAGGGCATTATGAGTACTAAAGTGGCAAAAGGTGTATCAACAATTACGAAACAAAGAACACAAACACTTGAGGATGTTGAAAAGTTATTAATTTGGATACACAGCAAGGAGTTAGCAGGTGATAGCATTTCAAATGCCATCGTTTGTAAAAAAGCAAGGCTATTGCTTGATGATCTTTTGAAGAAAACCAATGGAACAAGTGATGCAGATACGAAAGTGTTTTAGGCGAGCAGGGGAATAGCTTGAGAAATTTAGAAAAAGAAGTGGCATTCAAAGTGCTGTAAGAGTTGTGTGTTGAATTGAGAGATGGTGGAGAACACAGTGAAGAACTGACCACTGAAGAATTCCTAACCTTTTACAAGAAGCAGCAACAGGAAGCAGCTGGGGCAATTTCTTCAAGGGAGGAAGAGGCAGTACAGAATGTCCCTCAACAATTAGGAAGTGGTGTAGACTATGGGAAGAAATGCAAACTTTTGTTGAAACAACTCACCCAGAGCAAGCTGTAGTAGACCATTGCCTTAACCTTCTTAATGACACTGTGTTACAACGTAGGGAAAAACAAGTCTCTATGAAAAGGTTTTTAGTGAGAAAAACAAGCAGTGAGCCACAACCAGGTCCTAGTAGTATTCAGGCAAAACACAGGAGAGTGTACCCCAGAGAAGTCATCACTACCTGATGTTATAATGGAAGGGGACTCCCCTTCCAAACACTAACACCTTTCCTCCCCCCCCCCCTCCTCCTCATTGTCTTCCATACGCCAACAAGAGTCATCAATAAAGGTAAGCTATGTACATAATATAGTACTAGAGTTTTGTGTGAATTAGGTATGAAATCTATTTTAAAGTTAATATTTTTGGGAGTGTGGAACGGATTAATTAAATTTATATAATTTCTTACGGGAAAATTTGTTTCGGGTTGCGAATTTTCAGCTTACAAACTATCTCTGGGAATGGATTAAATTCGTAAATGGAGGAGCCACTGTATTGAAAATTTATTTACAGTAATTTTGTAATTTGCAAGTATAAAACTATGTGCAACTTAAATGATTTGGAATGCATAATGTGTGAAATTACATGTTTCTTATGAATGCTGATATGAAGGGATTAAACTAATATATAATAGTTTTTAATTTTGTAGTGGCCTACAACCATTGTGATGCATATAGAGGGGTGTTACTTACTAGGAGAATGGTGTAGTGAAATATCTTCTTAATAACCCTGAAGAACATTTAGGTAAAAATTAATTCATCATAACTAACAATACTGGCTATCGTGTTCAAAGGCTTTGAACACTGAACGGCAATGTTTTGGGCACATTTCCAATTTTTCCATGCCTATTTCTTACAGTTTAACATCTCTTTCAAATGTCCTGACCAAGATTAATGACAGTAGTGTACCTCCTAAACGTATGTTGGTCCTGTCAGTATCTACTTCACACGAACTACACAAGAATGTTATAGATCTGGAAGAGTTTGCACATTTCCTTGATCGCCATCAGATGATAAATTTTCCATGGGAGGAGCAGGTTTGTAAAATGTCTTTGTTTCATGGTTTCACCAATAAAAATACCTAATACAGTATATGAACTAACAATAAATATACAGTAAAAATTTATGAAAGCACTTCACAAGTGATCCATTATTTCAAATATGCTTTGGTTACTCTCAAAGCTTCATTCAGCCTTGATCATCTAAATCTTTTTTTCAGGGAAGACCTTCCGAGCATCTGGTTATGCAGCTGTTGAATACCATATACAATAGTGTTGGATTCTATAAAGGGTCTTCACTATTAATGAATTATGTATTGCAGCGTGGCCTCAGTGAATATGTAAATGACACCACCCTTTTGTAGATGGAATATATAATCCATGCTATGCTAGGTGGGCACAGAAAAATGCTAATGAATGAAGGGAAATTTTTACCCAAAAATTTTGTTACTGTATATTGGAATTTTTATGAGAACAGTCAGCTTATTTTGGGTCTTGAATAGATAAAAGAAACTGCTCTTTGTAAGCAACGCGCAATAGAAGTAATAGCATAAATCCACACTTTCCTGTCCTGGGTAGTGTTACTAATTAAAATGTAGACCCTTTAAATCTGTACAGACCTGGGAATTTAATGCAAGAAAGTGTGCTGCAGTGAAAATATTTAAGCCAATTATTTACTAGTACTTGAGGTATTTTTACCAAATTTTAATATACAGGCATGTATTTACATTTTTTTAAACTTTACCAACAAAAAATTTAATAGAAAATAATCTATAAAGATGGTGAGGGTGGGGTGGAGGGGGAGGGAGCTCTTGTGTGCCACCTTCAGGTAGGAGAGGGTGTCTCCTATTTTCCTTTTCCTGCCTGCTGTGGTGGCACATAAGTGAAATACACCCTATGTGTTAGCCATGCATAAACACCTATACATTCCCTTAAGTTCCTTCATCTGAGAGTTGAGCCTACCCAGTAACTTTGGCCCCCGGAGGAGTAACACGCTTCTTGGGTGGGGGAACAGAGGTAAACCAGGAGGTTTAGTGCAGCCTGCCTTAATCAATCAGCTCGTCCTGTTAGCCCACCTAGTTAGACATGAGTTAACTCTGTCTACTTATGCCCTGCTTTGCTTGTTATCCCTTATGTGGGCCCTGTTTCCTTTCACCACCTTTCTTTTTCTGTATGAATGTCTCACTAGTAAAATTCCCTAATTCATTCATGTTGGTAATACAGTATTTCTCATGTTCCAACCTTGCCCCTGTGGAGGGTCCCATTTGCAAAGTTTTGCAGAACTTTGCATGTGGACCTACATAGTGAAGGCTTATGATAGGTTATGATGGGTTTCATAACAACCATCTGTGTGTTATGAAACTACCTTTTCCTTGAACACTATTCTTCACACACTGCCATAATCACAGATGGGTGTAAGTCTGCTGAGGGTGTTGGCTATTCCATTGTCTTTAGTGACCAAACCTACATATGCCATCCATTCTCAAAGGTTTGCATCTTCATAGCAGAACTTCATACAATGTTCTATGCGCTTTGTCAACTGCTTTTCTGATACCAATGCTCCTTTGTTATTATGGTTGACTAGCAGTCCCCTCATGGCTCTGTGGTCATTTAACCATATGCATCTTGTGGTGGTCGAAATCTAATATTGGTTGTTTCTTATTTCTAGCAGATTTACGACAGTTGAGTTTTACTGGGTTCTCAGCCATATTGGTATTACCTTAAATGAACATTTGGACATTGCCACTAAGAAGGCTATCCACACTTGTCTTATTTTCCAAAAAGGTATTCCTTATTCATATTTCTACCTAGTCATTCATTCCTCAATCCTAGACTGCCGGCAGGGTTATTGGTCTGATGTTACCGATAACAAACTGCACATTCTTAAAGATAACCTATACCCTTGATACCTACCACCATAATAGACAACTAGAAATGCCTTTGGTTTGCTTATGTATTGGCAATACACACTTAACTCAGGAGCACTTAATGGAATGCCACTCTGCTCCTTATGGTCTGAACTGCATTGTCCCACTTTGTCGTGCACCTTCTTGTAGGTTGTCTCAATTTTCAGGACAATCATATGTCTCACTTTGCTAATATAATTTCTCTCTCGACAGAGTCCTTGGTGAATCCCACACCTTCGATAAAGCTCACATTACGTGCTTTTGTTCTCATATTGGCATCCTAAGTGATATTTAGAACTTTTTGAATATCCAGTGACACAGACAGTGCTACATAGTCTTCCTGGCTTGGTGCCTTCTTTTGATAATTATTTACCATAGAGCTTTACAAAATTTTTGTGATTCTCATAAAACATTGAATTACATACACTGTACTTTCAATATATTTTGTAATAAAATGTTAATTTTTTGATGAAGTCTAATTCACCTTTATCATACTACTCTTGCACAAGGACATTTCAGTAAATGAGGAAATACATATATGAAGTACAGGGTGTAGTAGTACTGAGCCTTATGTAAAGTACATATGTTGGACAACGGTGTGGAATAAACATAAAAAATCAAGAACTGGTGCGGTAACATTGTTAATCTGAGAAACATGAAGTTGTGTTCTAAGAAGAGAGTAAGAAATAAAAATGTAACGAATGAAAGTAAAAAATTCAACAAAGTGTTAAACTGAAACCATATTGCAATGATTTGAGCATGTTGAACAATGAATAATGGTAGACTGGTGGAAAATGAATTTGAAAACAGAAGAGGAAGGTTGCAAAGAAGATAGGACATGGTAAGCATGTGACGAAGCTAGATTCAGTATATGCAATGCACAAGATAAGCAGCAAGGCTAGGTAAAATAAGTTCGTCAGGAGGGAGTGAATATTTGTTCATGGGTGAATTTTGATTACTGAATACTATACAGATTTGTGTGGGTAATCCAAGCTAACCTGTAAATTTAGTGAGTTTTTAGTAGTGCTTCACCACATTTTACATTCTGTTCTTTACCCTTTTTCCTGGAGGGCCAACTGATGGCTCCCTGTTGCTTGCTACACTAAGATATCTCCACATTATTAAGTCATATTAAGCCTTTGCAAGTTATTAAAGGTCTTCAAGAACCAGAAGCTAAAACCGAGCACCAGTTCTTAAAATGCTAACTATCATACTGGAGCAGCAACTGTAAAATGTTATATAACAGTCATATATTTATGTAACAAATAAAAAACTGCACACCAGGGGGGGATTTTGGCTATAAACAGTGGTGCAGTGAATAAAGGTTAATAACAACATACTCATAAGCACAACAATATTCACAGTAAAATTATTAACTAAATCAGCAGTATGTACTTTATTTAGAAAAAAAATTTGAATGAATTATGAAAAATAATAAAGTACGTTCTTTACTAACCTCCAGGTCTTTGATGAGCCATTCATACTGTCGAGAGAGAGGCTTCAATCCATATTCAAGGAAGTAGTAAGCCTCAGTATTAATGGCAATAAAATGCACTTGTCCCATGTCCCAGCTGAAGAACAAACTCTCTGTATCCTCATAATTGGGCATGCTGAACCTTGATCGGTAGTTGCTGAAATTGCTGTAAGGAAATTTTTTTTAAATATTGTTTCTGTGGAGAGCCCCTTCAGCTCCCCAGGGCTATACCGGGCTGATGTGTATATATTACTTTCCCAACAGTCAATCGATGGAGTTTAGGCCTACCGGGGACCAGCGCTAGTACCTGGCCCCCTCAGAGAGGCACAAGGAGCAATGGCCTAGAGACCACTGCACAACTTCTCTGCAGAGCAGAGAAATTGAAACATGCCCTAGTATAGACAAAATGACAAATTCACCCACTCATAGGAAGGCAACCCATTCTCGCACTTTCGTATAGTCAATATTAACTTATTAAATAGGTGCATATGTGACATACTAATTTTTTGTGACTATTTTAGTTTACCTTGAAAAGCTTCATAGAAAACACCGACCTTACCTAACCTTCTTAGTATGTTAAGATAAGCATCTTATTGCTTCTTAATTGCAATTATTACTTAACCTATTATAGGTATAGGTTAAGTAATCATTGTAATTACGAAGCAATAAGATGCTTATCTTAACATACTAAGAAGGTTAGGTAAGGTCGGTGTTTTCTATGAAGCTTTTCAAGGTAAACTAAAATAGTCACAATAAATTAGTATGTCACATATGCACCTATTTAATAAGTCAATATTGACTGTAAGAAAGTGCGAGAACGGGTTGAGGAAGGAGGAACCAAGGACCCATGCATGGACACAAAACTTCCATGAAGTCCTCCCTCAAAGAACAAGGGTGGAAATGCAGAATGTACTTCCATTCCCTTAACAGTAAGCACATGCACAGTGGAAAACCAAAGCTGCTTTGAACTCTCAGCAAGCAATAGTGGATGAAGACTGGGGTACTTGTCAGATGACATGGAACCCAAAGCATCATCAAAAAACAACAAATCTGTAGTCTTCCAATCTTGAAGCTCCAATCTGCAGGTTAAAGCCAGGTCAGGTACACATTCCTCATGCAAAGTGAGGACTGACTGTATGTGTAAATGACCTGCCAATAAGTAAAATACTATATGAACATGTTAGTAAATTTTAAAATTAATTGGAAAAGGGTGGGGTGGGGGGAAGAATGATTACTTTCCTTCTCATAAGGCCATTTATCACACACACAGACTGGTTAATTGTCAAGGACCTTAATGAAAGATTCTGCATATTAGTTTACTTGTTAGACACCAAAAAATACAAAAATTGTTACATTCAGTACATACACAATAGATTGATAGCAGCAGTTATAGGAAAGCATAACAAAACAAAGCAAATGACAAAAACCAAAATAAGTCAAAGTTATTGATTTGGAATTTAAAAATAAACACTAATGATAAATTTTGTATTTGTAAGTATTAGTTTACAGTTGGATTTAGAGATTCTGTACTAAAAAAAAAGCTACTTAATAAAACCAGCGTTGAATGTAATGAAACGCCATTTTCTGGGCGAGTCCCGGAGGCTCCCCGGAGCTATCCATGGCTGATATGGATACCCTAACTATTTTGCATCAGTCGATGTGGGTGGAGTTCTAGGCCTACCGGGGATCATGAGCCAGAACCTGCCCCCCCCCCCCCTTCTCACAGAGGCACGAGGAGCAATAGCCCATAGAAATGCACATGTGATTTGGAGCATTCTATATCTGCCATTGACCAGGACAGGCACCCAGAAAAGTAAGCGCCAAAAGCGCGGTAAGCGCGGCGCGGCTCGTGTGGCGTTATGCTTGCTTGTTCGTTTTTCTTTTGGGGAGTTCTGTCCACTCGTTTGACAATTTTCGTTGTTAACCAAAATAGGGGTTTGTTTTGTGGCGCTTACCTTTCTGGATGCCTGTCCCGGTCGATGGCAGATATAGAATGCTCCAAATCACATGTGCATTTCTATGGGCCATTACTCCTAGTGCTTCTGTGAAGGGGGGGCAGGTTCTGGCTCGTGGTCCCCGGTAGGCCTAGAACTCCACCCACATCGACTGATGCAAAATAATTAGGGTATCCTTGTCAGCCATGGATAGCTCCGAGGAGCCGTAGGGGCTCCCCCCCAGAAAAACTATTTTAAACTTACTATTTTTGTTCATGGTTACCCGGGCAGGTTATATAAGGGACGTAGGCAGCAATTGGTTGAATCTGTCGCATGAACTCGTCACCAACACGGGCATTGTCCTAGTTTAAGAATGCAAATACAGTATTAGACAATGTATTTAATACACAGCATTCATATTTTGCAAAGACTATAAACTAATCTAAACATACTAACAATACATGAATAAAATGCTTCATATAGCGAAGATTAAATCAAGTATAGTATAGTACACACTCAAATTATCTGAATCAGTAGGGATTCAACCCCATACGATTCTGCTGACAGCCTGTATAACTCAGGCGTATTAGGCTTTTGTTTCTACATTTTAAAATCTAATATCTGTTATTAGTGCAACAAGAGTTATTAGTGAAATATTTGCACCCTTTTTCATTTAAAAAGCACATTCTTAACACAAGAAAAAACTTTTGAGTATGAGAAACCCTTCTTGGTGCAATTTTTTCTGCCACCCACATTATTCAGTATTTGTATGCCCTAAGGCTCATGATCTACAGTCAGGCAAGTGTAAATTGGCATTGATGCCATAGGGGACTACAGCATCCACGCAGGGTCATGTATTATGCTTGGGAATCACTGGAGACGGTCATCCAGACAAGAGTAAGACGATACTCAGATTGTTTAGTCATAAACACAAAGCTTTCAAGAATTTCCAATTAATATACATTTACAACTGTTAATGGAAACTATGTACTATATTAACCTTAATGCAACAGTGAAAACTCTGTATTAAACTAACATCGCAATGGAAACCCTGGATTAAAGTAATATGCCATAATGGAAGTCCTGTGTTTAACTAATTGCCACAATGGAAGCCCTGTGTTACTAATTACCACAATGGAAACTGTATTAAACTAATTGCCACACTGGAAACCTCTGTATTAATCTTATCTACAACAATAGAAACTCTGGGATTAAACCAATCTGGCAATAAGTATTAAACTAATTGCCACAATGGAAACCCTGTATTAAACCTATGCAACAAGAGAAACCCTGGGATTAAACCAATCTGGCCATAATAGAAATGCTGCATTAAACCAAACTGTTAATGGTCTGGATTAAACCACTCGGTTAATAGTAGAAACACTGAAAAAACTAATAGATCTGCCAATTACAAATAAATTTGTTCCACCTCACCACCACCAGGCAGTGAAGTGGCATGCCATCCATATTATCATCCATCCATACAATTAAAAAAATATTACGTGGAATACATGTTGTCTGAATCAATTGGTACTCTTGAAAAAAAGTCCTAGAAAACAGTCTACACTGTATATAACTAATTAATGCTTAAAAATTGCATGTAGCATAAACATCACATTGCTAATCTACAGTTCAAAGCCAAAATTTTAAATTTAGATTACCTATGTAAAAACAATTATTATTAGTAGTAATTTGCTTTTTCAATTAAATAAATAGTCTGACATCAGGCACCAACATAATGGGTTTATACAAAATAAATGTGAAGTGCCTTTTCTTACACTGTAAGATTTTTTGCAATTACAATAGTTAAAGTACTTTCACTTTGTAGGACAAGCTGATGGTAAACTGCACTACTGAAGCTACAAATGACTTGTATGTTTATGTGGTAGCTGCACCAAAATGTAGCGAGCAATTACCAATGTTCTGAGCATAGTAAATGGATTTTGTCACAAAAAAAAAAAAAACTGATGTGTTTTGACAATAATTTACACATGACATTATACTGAAAATGGAAATTAAACTAATTTATAGATACTAACAGAATCCATGTCATAAGCAAAATCTCCAACATGAATCACAGCATCATACATTCCCATCTGTGTCTCCTCTTGCAGTCTGAAATCATCAAAGCAAATTATACTATGAGCAAACAGTAGTAGTATAGTACAGTATTGTACCAATGTATCATACTTATGATATCCTACACTTAAGACAAAGGAATGAAATACTGTATAAAGTAATTCTTACAGATATGATGGGAATATTATTTGTTCAGTCCTCTTTCTGAGAAAACTAGCAAAGTTTCATAACTCAAGCATGATTAAAAATACAAAAGTGTGAAGCACTTTTGATGAAAGGAAATGTATTTGGTTAAATGTTTGAAAATATTTTCTGTACTGCATATTTGTTATGCATATCCATATCATTCCAATCTTAACTAAATTTTAAGGTGAAAAGCATTTAGTGAGTCTTACAACATTTCAAAATTAAAAAATATTAGAAAAATGTCTATCATTATAAATAACACTCAAATACCTGTCCAATTCTCCTAATGATCTCCTCCCAAAAAAGTGTTTATTTCACTTTTTGATTATTAATGCAACCCTCATTTAATAATGCACCCATTAAGGGTTCCAGTAGTAGTCGGGTTCATTCTTGACTCAATCGAAAATTACGAATCCCGGGCGGGACAGAAATGGTTGGGCGTATTTCTTATCACCTAATGCCCACGCCTTCCTAGCAGTAAATAGGTACCCAGGAGTTAGTCAGCTTCTTGTGTGGTTGCATCCTGGGAAAGGTCACCAATTTGACCCTAGGGGGGGCCTTGATATAAGCCAAATAAGTACTCTATGTATAAATTGGGTGCCTGTTCCCTGACAATGCATTATTATTATTAACACTTTGGCATCATGATGACGCTCCCAGCAGCATCAAAACAATACACGCAGTATACAACATGATGCAACGCATCATGTTGTATACTAAACTGCGCAACGCGCCTGCAGGCTCTCGACGGGGGTGTGCAACACGCCTCCGGGTATTTATATTTTTGCGTTCCATTCAAAACTCCCACGGCTACTTGGGATTCACATCAGCTTCCTCAGGGCTCTTGTAAGCAGACGCCATCTTTAAAAAAAATCGTGGGCCACATTCCCGGGTGTGAGAGCCTCAGTACTGAGTAAGCAACCAAGGCTGGTGCACACAGCATGAGCTCACAGCACCGCTGTTCAGCATTGTGACCACAGCATCGCCTAATAATGTTAAAATATATATATATAACGTGTATAATTAGCCATGATAGTATTACAGAAGAGCCTGAGTGTGATAATGACTGTGTACAATGTTCAAATATCAGTGATTCGATGCTATTCACGATGTTCACAGAGCTAGCCTCAGCACAACAGCATTATTTCGTCCATCGAGGAATCGTCAAACGACTTCGTAGGTTCCTTTACAAAATAAACTTGTGATCAATTATTCATTTACAGGAATTAGTGACCAAGATTGTGATAATAGCAGGACTGTGATGATAATTAGCACTGTGCGTAGTATTGTGGGAGGAGGAGGTTTGGTGAGGGACGGAGGGAATCGAGGTAGCCTCACCGTGTGTGGCAGCCACTCTTGTTTTGCTCACCATAGTGGTTCTATGGTCTTAGTGGTTCGCTATGGTGAACACATATGTACATGGGTATATACAATGTGTGTATATAGTGCAATAACAGCAACAGGAGTATGTTGGGAGGAGCTATTTTGGTGAGGGAGGTGACGTCGTAATCGTAGCGTCGTCTGCTGGCTGTTGTGTGATTTCTCATACAGTGTAAGGTGGCCACTGTGCTGACACAATACCGGCTTACTTGCATAGTTTTGGTGAATAAAACAAGTAGATACGTATACATAACATGTGTAAATAGTGTAATAAAAACAATAACAGTATGGTGGGAGGAGCAATGTTGGCGAGTAAGATGTTGGAGTGAGGGAGGACTGGCTGGGTGTGGCAGATCACACTTGCAGAGTTCTGAGTGTGTTGATGGTGAATGTATATAGTGTGTGATAGTGTATAGTGTGTAAATATGTTGTAAATATTCATAAATGAACATGAAACATTGGTGTGAATAACAGTATGGTGGGAGGAGGGGTGATGGCGAGTACGATGTTGGAGGAGTGAGGGAGGACTGGCTGCGAGTGGCCGATCACACTCGTAGAGTTCTGAGTGTGTTTATGGTGTGTGTATATAGTGTGTGATACTGTACAGGGTGTAAATAGATTGTATATACTGTATACATAAATTAGCATGATACATTGGAAATATGTACCAGATATGTGTACACGTGTCATGCACATAACAGTGTCTTCGGACAATACGGATGTTCTACTGCCATAATATAGTGTATGTGTTCATTATACATAGGATTGGCACAAAAAAAAAAAAATAATGTATTTGGAACCTGCGCAATAAATTAACAAAAATATATTCGTGGCAACTCCCGCATCTTTACCCGGGCGCCCTACTGGCCCCGGGAGCATACACCACGGGTGACTAGGGATTGATGTCGTCACGAGCGAACTTATGGACCCCATAGCAACCAAAGTAAGTACAATTTTGACTTTTTGTTAACATATCCATACTCAGGGAACGGTTTTTGACATTTTCAAAAAAACAAAGAATTTTTTCCAGAGAATTTATTTCCTGTGCACTAGGAAGGGGGGGGTGCTATATTTGGAAGCCGAGCAGTTGAAGGGTTAACAGCATCAACAATTACAATATTTAAAAAAATTCTATTTATTGTCCGATTATTATGGGACTTGTTTTAAAATGCGCAGTGTTCTATTGCCAACAATTTAATACTACAGTTAATGATGTAGCAAGAAAAACAAGGTAGGAAAACTGGAAAAAGTATAAAAATTTGAGTGTGACAGAGCGCACACGGGCAACACCTGTCCGACTTTGACCTTAGCTGGGTGGTGCACACGGGTCAGGACTACTTTGAAGTGGCCCTCCAGGCCAGTACCAGGCCAGCCAAACTGATAAATAACCAGCCTCTCATTTAAATATGCATTATTTGTGCATACTTTTGTCTACAATGCATAAGGATTATTTTTCAGTATATGTTATTTATCATGCTAAAAATTATTTTGCAACCTTACCTAGAAAGTGATTGCGCATTGATAGCTCCCATGTCCCCATACATGACAACTGAGATGGGCCAGTCAGTGCCATTTTTCCAAGTCTTGAACATAAAAATCTCAGACCAGCCAAGGGGACTTCCACAGTGGTAAACTGTAAAAAAAATAGGACAATGAGTGTAATGAAATATTAATTTTAAACAGCACCTCAGTAGCTCTCCTGAGCTATTAGCGCTGGGTTATTCCAAGACCATCACTAGTATGCCTGGCCCTGAGCATCTATGAAACACAAGACAAGTAACCTTGCAAACTCTCTTGTAGTGCAGGGACGAGTAGGATGAGTAACTCAGTTGAGAGCATTCCATAATCAACCAATAGGAATAACTGCTTGCTGTGACACAAGAATATTTTAGTCACTGAACACTGCCTCCAAGCATTCATTGGTATCTTAAGATAGCCAAGAATCATTCTGAAATTACTGTACTTAATAAGTACAGTAATTACCCCTATAATAAAAAATATATAAAATAAAATAATGATAGCCAGTAAGTGGCAACATCACCTACGAGTACTGGGTTGAGGTAGGTGGCCACAATCACTTTAACCCCAGTCTGCCCAAGCATACTCAGGAAAGAGGCAAAATAAAGGTTGAGAACAAGTAAGATGGCACTCAAAAGGGCATTTAATTTTCCACATTTACCCTATTATCCAATAGGGTAAATCTATGGAGTGAGCAAACACAACAGGAACTTATCAAGTGAAAAATTAGTAGGCAGAGAGGACTCAAGGTGATGCGAACCAGACACATCACCCACATGATAATTGACCCACTATAAACACATGTGTGATGGGGAGGAGACAAGAGTAGGAGGCCAGCTCACCAGAAACTCTGGATCTGGGTGGAAGAAGACATAACAGCTGTAAGGGTGCCAAACAGACTCATAGCAATGGTACAAGGGTATACAGGAGCCAGGGAATAGGGGTCAGAGAATTAATAAACAGGGCAGAAATAAGAGAGGCAAAACCAGCCCCCCCCCCCTTTAAAAAAAAACAGCGTTGAATGTAATGAAACGCCATTTTCTGGGTGAGACCCCAAAGGCTCCCCAGAGCTATGTTGGGCTGATGTGTATATATTAGACTGTGGCAACAGTCAATCAATGGAGTTCTATGCCTACCGGGAACCACGAGTCAGAACCTGGCCCCCTCAGACAGGCACGAGGAGCAATGGCCTATAGACACCCCCCCCCCATGTTGTTGGAAGCAGTCTATGTCTTCCATCTACCAGGTCAGGTGCCCGTAAAAGTAGGAATCCCAAAACAAACTACAGCTGGTTAAAAATTGCAAACCAAAAGCTGAACGAGCAAGCAGAATTCCCCAATCAGAAAAGCAAACAAACATGACATCACCACAGCCACCGCGCCCCTGTCTGCGCAGCTCCCCCTCCCTGGGAGGGGGAAGGGAGGCCCCAGACCTGGTTGAGGCGTCTTCCGGTATACAGTATATGGCGCCCTTCCCCGGCTTCGAGGCTGCCAGGGTCGATGCCTTTTGGCTGAACTGGTCGAGGTGGTCTTGGCGCGCTTGGAGACTTATCAGGGGAGAGTAGTCCTCTTGGCCTTTGGTTAGGTAGCTCTGGGAAGCCGAAGGGGCTCTCCACAGTAAACCAGCATTGAATGTATCGAAATGCCATTTTCTGGGTGAGACCCGGAGGCTCCCCGGCATCCCTCCCTCCCTCCAGTTGGTTTTTTTTTGCCATTTTGATATCCAGCCTCTGCACTGGGGTTGGGTAGCTGGCACGGGAGGTCTTGCCCTCCCCCCCTTCCCCTCCCGGAGAGGGGAGGAGCTGCTCAGACAGTGGCGTGGTGGCTTTGGTGACGTCATGCTTGTTTGCTTGTTTCTGATTAGGGAGTTCTGCTTGCTTGTTCGGCTTTCGGTTTGTAATTTTTAACCAGTTGTAGTTTATTTTGGGAGTCCTACCTTTCTATGTGCTTGACCTGGTAGATAGCAGATATAGACTGCTTCCAACTACATGGGGGGTTTTCTATAGGCTGTTGCTCCTCGTGTCTCTTTGAAGGGGCCAGGCTCTGACTCGTGGTCCTCAGTAGGTATAGAACTCCATTGATTGACTGTTGCTACAGTCTAATATATACACATCAGCCCAGTATAGCTCTGGGAAACCGAAGGGGCTCTCCCCAGAAAATGTAGCAACTAGACACATGTTGTAAGAATAAAATGAGCGAAGAAACCAAACCCAAATGAAAACGAGACCATTTTAGAAAGCAGGTGTCAGAAAATGCAAAGAAGGAAAGGAGGAAGAAGCTCCTTCCTTGACTCGTGGGACAACACAAAAAGATTTAGCCAGAGCCACAAACTATGGAGTGATGGAGGAAGGGATTCTTTTAAAAACTTTTTAAAGTTTTTAAAAAGAAAGTTTAACTTTTAAAATAGTGTACTGAACAATTTGGAGGATGTTGATCCAGACAATGTCTTCAAAAGGTCAGATGTACATAACACAAATAAGGAACAACGGTTTCAAGCTAAACTAGCCACAATGTAGGACTGAAAACAGGAGATGCTTTTTCACCCACTGTTATAAACCCATGGAACCACCTACCCACCAAAGCCATAAATGCCAAAACATTGTTAGATTTTAAAATCCATCTGGAAAGAATCATCAGGGCAAACAGAGGGGCCTTTGACAACCCACCAGCTTCCTGTCCTTGTCGAGGCCACTAGTGTTAGTGGCCCTCGGGTAAATTCAGAAAAGCATAACAGCACCCAAGAAACAACAGCAAAAGAGCAAGAACCAGCCAAACCCCAACAAGAGAGGCTCTAAAAGAGCTGACATAAAAGAGAAAACAAGAGGGGACTGCCTGACAGTTGCTAAAGCATCAGGAGATAAACAATTACTACAACAAACTCAAGGCTTGTCAAGCAACGGGAGAAGCTAGAAAGACCGCCAAGCCAACTGACACTGGTGGTGCCATCCTTCATGTGTGTATGTACACATAAAGGAGCCATAAGAGTGTTGCTATCTGCATCTTATACAGATGGAGGTATAGTAAGAAGTCCTAAAAAAGCACTTTACAAACAAATAGATCAAGTCCCACCTGCTCCATTTGTGACAGCATCCAATACCACAGCATCCTAGTCAGGAAACACATCAAAATGGGATAAAAGTATAAGAGACTGTATATAAACATATTTAGCACATCCCAAATGTGGAACACATGGAGAACTGCAAGAGGGCAACTGGTCACCACTAACACCAATAAAGGCCAGTGTCCATGTTCAGATGATGAAGCTGGGGACAAGTCCCTTCCCATGCTTCTATGGGATGCTGGATGTTTCCAGTAATAGACAGAATGATGGTCTCGCAAGTTACCATGGAACCGAGCCCCAAAAATCCTGCAGAGTAAAACACCAAAGTAGGAGTATCTTCAGGCCCTACAGAGTGAGCAAGTACTACATAGTCCCTCAGTCAGTGAAGTGTCGACCATCCGATAAAATGGTATAGCACCTTCAACCAAACACAGCCCTGACGATAAACCATTGAGACGAAGTTCAGATGCCACAACAGGCTCATGAGGTACTCATGAACAGCCGGTGCCTTCAAATGACCTGTCAAAACAGGAAGCCCAAGCCAGGAGGTGAGAACCTGGGACCTCAGGTCGAGTTCTGTGTTTATAAGCCAAACCTCATAGGGAGTGGATCCCTAAACTTATACACCTAGAGAAACAATCACCAGAGCCTATGTGGCCAGAGGCTGAGGGCATTTAGGAGCCACAATCAGAGGAGGTGGCTGGGGAAAGTCTGTTAGCCAATTCAGAAGGAGTACCAATGCATCAAAACTTCTCGAAAGACATAAGTATTAAAATCTTAACCTCTTCCTCATAAAGGAAGGTACAGAGATTCCCTACCAGCAGGAGCCAAGGAAACCAAAGCATCTGTTCTGCTATATAGTCATAATGGCTTAGCACTTTCCTTCATAATTACCTTACCTGTACTGTAAATACTCGAGACCACAAGAAAGCGTTCACCTTATAAACCACAATACAGTACAGTAAGGTAGCTCAATTGAAATCGCAATCCACTGTTGACAAGTGTCACACACAAGGATAAAAAGAGACCTCGGAGCTAACAAGAAACATACTGAAGACACAGTTTACTATGAGGGTAAAAAAAAATTAAGAATGAACCAGAAAATTGTACACAGCAGAATGAGCCTTCACATTGGATGGGCTTGCCAGAACATCTGGACCAGCAGCTGGTCATGCCATCGTGTGGCAGTTAGTGCAGTAGCAGTTTCTTATGTAATTTCAGAGTAATTTTTAGGTATCTTAAAGATTCCAATGATCATTAGAAAGTTGTGTTAAGCGATTTGATATGTTCTTTGGTGTCATAGTGGATATTTTCATTGGTCAATTGAGGTATGCTCTCCACGGTGCTCCTTGTCCATGTTCTTTGGTGTCATAGTGGTTATTCTCACTGGTCAACTGAGGTATGCCCTCCACTGCGCTTCTTGCCCCTGGGCTATGGAACAAGATGATTCACAAATTTACTAGTCCCCATGGGGCTTATTGAACCCAGTGCTATGGCTCAGAAAATCTACTAAAGCAGTTTTGCTCAAAAAAATATATACCCGTACAGTATACTGTATATTCATACTGTATATTCATACAGTACATCATGTAAAATATAATGCATACAAAATTTGGTAACCAAGAATTTATTCTTGCTTTATGGCATGACTTTTCATTTCAACTCTATTTAAAATGTATTATTTTGCATATAAATGGATGATAAAAGGGCAGCAAACACTTTAAATGATTATTTTACATCTGTTCACACTGGAAAGGTTGGATGACATCCCATCACCCTCACAAATGTCTGAAGGAGGGGAGGAGAATGAATTCAGGGATATACCCATAATATGCAAAATAATTAGAAAGAACACTGACAAACTAAAAGACTCAAAAGCCCCAAGTGTGGATGGAATCCAATCCAAAGTCTTAACACTTTGGCTTGGTAACGACGCAGCATTGCGTCGTTCTTTTACTCAGGGGTAGTCCGGTAACGACGCAGCATTGTGTCGTTCATTAAAATATTTGCAGAAAATCCGGTTTTTATCCAAATTTTTTGGGACTGATTTTAAAC